ACTTAGGACCCGCAAAATGCAACATTTGTCAAAGTACTACTTTTCTTCAAAATTATTTTGGAATATAGTGCTGTCAAAATGCAAGTTTATTTGGAAAATATTTATTCTATGGCAACCGTTCCTTGGTGACCATGAAAGCTGTATATAGTAGAGCTACACTCACAAAATGAAAATATCATATAGTTCTAGGAGAAGAAGATCTTTTGCCAAAATATATTTTGCGTTGTCACGCAACAAGAATAGCTCCAAATTTTTTCTCTCATTGCTAGATGTGAAAAAACTACTTTAAATTATAAACCTAAAAATTTAAGCATATAAGAGGTATACCATAAGCACAAGGAAATCATAAAGGAATTCCAAAAATTTCCTAGTAAAAAAAAACCTTTTTTGTTTAACGTTTGAGGAGTACTTAAAAGATAATTTGAAGTGCAAATTACAGTCTTCTACAGTTGAGGTTTAGGCATTTTATATAATCTCTGAATTAGGCATCAAAGGTCTTTTATTTGTTATTTTTTGTTTCTTTTAAGGTCGGCACCTTAATTATTCAAGTTCTGTTGTTTTCAGACCCCCCCCCCCCCCAAAAAGTGCTGTTGTTTCGGTTTGTTTTGTTTTTTGTTTTTGTTTTTTTGGATGGGAGTTGTTTTGGTTCGCGTGTTGAAGAAAGTTGCTATCTTTTTGCCATGTCGGCTACACTTCAGCCAGACAAGTTTTAATATTCGTATGTTGTCCACTACCAAAGCTACCGTTGGCCCGAGATTTTCCACCAAAATTGATGACATAAAAATAAAAAATTAACGAAAAAGAGAGTTGCTAAAAAAATAGGTAAATTACAAACAAGGTCTAGGTATGTTCTATTATACATATATAAATTCGGGTATAAAGTCGGGGACCATTGCAGTTAAAAAATATTTATTTATTTTTAAACTAAAGTGATAATGACAATTAAAAATAATGAGGAATTTCTTAAATAAATTCGCGGGCCAATGAAGGGCTGGATGATCAGAATTTGCTTTTGTGACACAAGGAAAAGGACAGGGTACGTTTATGTGAGGGGATTTGAAATGTAAAGCTCAACATCGGAGAACCACAAGCAAGATAAAGGAAATCATGAAGCAATGTCACATGGTCATGGAGACAATTACAACTGGTAAATATATAGTACGTACATTATGGTGCATATATAGTGTAAAAACATACACCACCTAATTTCATTGAAAATATAGGAGGATGCGTCATCATATTTTTCATGATAACAAAACTGAAAGTTCCAGTCGACCAATTGCACAAGACATTAATATAGGAATGTGGGGTTAGTCCTACAAAGAAAAGTCCCATAACATGTTTTGTACTCGGGATATTAAGGATTTTTCAATAAATCTGACCATAGAGAGACTAAGAAATGAAACTGTAATAAGAGCATCTCCAGTGGACTAGGTATCCCACAAGATAAAACGTGTCACATTAACATTTTTAATTTCCAAAAAACTAAGCACCTACCAACTAACTCTTGGTCTAGTCACTATCCTTCTTCCTAATTTGACAGAGGCTCCCCATTGATCAAATTCCCCCTCCTCCATTAACATGGTAAAACTTGCATCATCCCTCACACAAGGCAACTATACTTTGTTGAAAAACATGAGGGAAGTTGGGGCCCAATCAACTTTCTTAATGAAAAAAAAATACATTTAGTAATTTCACATGTTTCTACTTTCCAACTTTTGAATAAATTACGAGCCGAAAAATGCAACATTTGTCAAAGTACTACTTTGCTTCAAAATTATTTTGGGGGGAAATAATACACACTATTATTTACAATAATTTTTTTCTATTTTTGGCAAACTCTCATTTGTTCTTTTCACTTGGTTCTAAAATTTGAACCAATTCTCTCTCTCTCTCTCACCTAAGAGCAACTCCACCCATTTGCCCTTTGTCATGGCAGGGGGGGGGGGGGGGGGGGGGGGGTGAAGGGGGGGACTAGGGCAGCTACTATTCACGTGAATAGTGGCTGCCCTTGCAAAAAACAATGTGTATTTCCACCTGTTGTCATGGCAAAGAGCAAATACTATTAATTTTTTTTAATTTTTTCACAAATTTGTTTACCTAAACAATTAATTTGGATAATATTTTCGGATAAGATTTTTGGGTTCGTACGTGTCAATAATTATTATAAAATTCATATCTCAATCGGATAAAATTTTCGGATAAGATGATAAATAAAAATACAATTTAAAAGTGAATAAAATGTTGAGTAAAAAGTGAATAATAGTAGAAATAGAAGAAAATGCATGAGGATTTAGTGTTGAGAGTGAAGAATATTGGTAGGTATTTATAGAAAAAAATTCCATAATTTTTTGGTATTTTTAAAAAAAAAATTCGGATTTTTTTCATAATTTTATAGCAAAAAAAAAGCCCAGTTGTTGGATTGGAGGAGAGCAAGCGATCAGAGCACCCAGACGACGACACATGTCTTCTAGCTGTTGGTGGAGAGCTGGGCTGACGTCAACGCACGCTATCATCCCCCCTCAGGCTCGAACTCGGGCAAGAGCTGTCTTCGGGCCAACCTGTCTTCTTGGGTCCCACCTCCAGCCCGAGCAAAAGTGGCCCGCTTGAATTGGCTTTTTGGCTTGCCCCCCCCCCCCCCCCCCCGGGCTTGGGCTTCTCAGTGGAGTTGCTCTAACAAGTCCCTTTTGGATTGATTTTTCCTTGCAATTTCTGTGGGGTTTCTTCCTCAACGCCCTTATGAATTGAGACAGAAGGGGTGACTCAGATTGAGAGACTGAGGAAAGTTGAAGAGATAAGGTTTCATGGCCTCCACAAAAATACTTATGGTAGACCTAACAAGTACGTGGCAACGGCTAAGCACAAACCAATTTCATCATCACTTGAAAGACCAAAGTATCCACATCAAGCTCCCAGAGATTCGAATTCATCTTGGTCCTAGGCCAATAATAAAGGACCCCCACTTTCGTAAACTCTCTTTGAAATTCTGTCCTTAGCATTGCATTTCACACCATCTTTGCTTCGTGTAATCCACGTCTTTGTTGCTTAATCTCTTTTTTTTCTTTCTACAATTAGGAGTCATTATAGGGAAAAGGAAGATTCTAAAACACAATTTATTATTATTATTATTTTTTAATCAGCACACCTAATTAGGCTTCAAAAGGTCCAAAAACACAGATGGTGCACGTGCCTGCCTGCTTGGAACTATTTCTCTATTGCTCGTCACAAATCTCAAACATCTTATTTCTGATTAATTACAACAGAATAAAATAACAGAAAAACATAAAATAAAATAAAAATAGTAATGCAAATATTTGGAGATTATAATATATACAAAGCAACTCCGCGCAAATTGTGCCCTTGATGACTCCAAGAACTCAAGGCTTTGGCCCAGGCGTTTTGTCATATGCTAAATTTGAAATAAAACAGGTGGGAATAAGAAAATATAGGTCGACATAGATATAAAGATGACTTCCAATTAAACAATGCGGCATTAATTGGTCAAAAATGCCAAAAGTTCTGGGATGGCGCGGTCATATATGTCACCCTCTAACATTTGCTCGCTCGGTACGATGCTTGTTGACGGTGTAATGGTCGTATACGCCCCTTTCTCACATCTACTCATCACGTGTGTACTGGGCGTCGACTATACTATACCTTTCTCAAAACAAAAACAAAAAGTCAATTTACGAGGAATCAGTCAATTAAGGAAATGTGAAAACACATGCCAAGTCATGAAAGCAAGTTAAAGTTTGAATACTTCACTTGAGGGCATATTGGAAAGACAAAATCCAAGAGAAATGAAAGCAAAGACTTTGTTACAACCGCATGCCACCATTCCGCCTAAATGACAAGAGCCTGTCCTCTTTCTTATCCTAAATGAAGCAAAACCAATTAAATTTCCTAATTCTGAGATCTTTTGTGGTCGACTAAAATGCAGGGTCTATGAGAGAGCACATAGACCAAGGAGAACCTAGCTTATTTGTAGGGTTTTGCTGCATTGTGGAAAAAAAAAAAAAAAAAAAAAAGTTGCAAAAAAGAATTAAAAAAATATGAATAAAAGATATTTGTATATGCTTGCAATTACATTGTAGATATTTGTATATGCTTGCAATTACAGAGGTCAAGAAAATAGAGAATCCAATTGAAAATAATGAACATTACAGTAGCCATCCAAACAACAGCTTCAATTTCAGTCTCTTGACACGGTTTTGAGGATAAATGAACAGACTTAAATTTAAAAAAAAGTGTGACAGATGAAACTAACGTGGACTTTCCTTTAAAATATCAGAAGGGTATGTATCAGCTGAAGATATTTTATCACATCCGATTCCGAATATCCAACCAAGATGCATGCAAGCATATGCTTGAAACTTCAAGTGTGTTGAGCACTCTAAAAGATCTATGGTAATTTATCCAAATAATGCAAACCATCTTATGACTAATATTCCCCTTAAATTCACTTCTAAGTCGAGGCAAACTTCTCAGTTCTGGAGTACAGTATATTACGGGAGTATGATCACGTGGTATACCTCGTTCATTGTGTTATAATATAAATTTATATTATAACATATATTATACTACGTAGTCATATTCCAATCCTATGCAATAATTTCTCATGTTCAAAGCAGCATTTGAATCCCAAAATATAGGAGAAACAAAACCACTAAAAGTTGTTTAAGATTTAAGCTTTTTTTTTAAAATCAGGGGCCACCTGTTCTACACTCAAAATTTGATAAATATTCGGATGTTTTGCGATTTTGAGTGTGCAGATGGTGCAGAAGCAACCTCTTCCATATGTTTTGATAAATATAGAGAAAATGAATTTGAAAATTGCTGACTCAGACCAACACATATAAAATAAAATAAAAAGACAATGAGCTGGCCTAGTTGCACTTTTTCACTTTTCAACTAGAGCCCACCAGACCGGCCTAGGAAAAAAAAAAAAAAACACAGAGCCAGCCAGCATTATCTCCTTCAAAGAACATCAAGAGGGAATGTGTTTTTATAAATAGACACACAACCCCTTCATCCAATCTCATCATTTTTTTTGCTCTCTTCCCTTCAAAACACTTTTACAGAAATTAAATGACGTTAACTCTGCGTTCTTCAACGTCTTTCATCAATCTTAATGACCACAAAAGCCTAAAAGCCTCTGATGAGTCTTCTTGGACAATTTGCTATGCGCAAATCAAGCCAACATGCCGTCTCCGGGCAAAGAGTTCGATGCAAGAGACGCAGCTCTTGCACGAAAATACCTTAAAGACCGCCTGCACCGATGGAAGGAGAGAGATGCTTCATGCACTCCCCAATATTGCTCACAGCAGCAATGGTTCCAAGGTGCCTGTGTACGTGATGCTTCCGCTTGACACTGTGAGCCATGGAGGGCATTTGAACAAGCCAAGAGCAATGAATGCTAGTTTGATGGCCTTGAAGAATGCAGGAGTTGAAGGAGTTATGGTGGATGCCTGGTGGGGATTGGTGGAGAAAGATGGGCCTTCCAAGTACAACTGGGAAGGGTATGCTGAGCTTGTGCAGATGGTGCAGAAGCATGGCTTGAAGATCCAAGTTGTCATGTCTTTTCATCAGTGTGGAGGAAATGTTGGAGACTCATGCAGGTATGTTTATGGCTCTAATTGCACTATTTCATGTTTATTGTTCTCTATGAGATTTAGTAAAAGGTGAAAAGATGTTTGAAGGTGGTTTTAGGATGGCTAAAAGCGCTTTAGAATAACCTAAATCACTTTTGACAGAATAAAAAATATAAGTGCTTTTGGATTAGAATTTAGAAAAGCACGTTTTAGTGTTTTTATTTTTCTGAAATTCCTGAATTGCTTTTTCGTGCTTCTCATAAAAGCGCTTATGAGAACTGATGCACTCCACAACATCTCTAACTAATAGTCTATAACCTGCATAGTGTTTTGGAATTAGACTCTCTCCAAGTTATTAATTACTAAGGACCCAAGAAACTCTGTTTACATATGTTTCTGCCAACAGTTAATCCATCTCCAGCTGGTGTGGATTTATGCCCTCAATTTACTAAACCATCATTTTTATGAATTTTCAGCATTCCTCTACCTCCATGGGTGCTAGAAGAAGTCAGCAAGAACCCTGACCTTGTTTACACAGACAAATCAGGTAGGAGGAATCCTGAGTACATATCCTTGGGATGTGATTCATTGCCTGTTCTCGGAGGAAGAACACCGATCCAGGTTTACACCGACTACATGAGAAGCTTCCATGACAGATTCAGAGATTACTTGGGCAATGTTATTGTGGTAAGCATCTGCAATAAACAAAAAGTCCATTTGATGCAATTGTTTTGGTAGCAGGCAATCAACAATTCAGAAAGCTAGACATAAACAGATCTCTGTTTGTGTTCCACCAAAAAAGAGAGAGAAAAAATCATCAAACAGAACAAAACTAATTTGGATAAGAATCCTTACTAATTCAATCAATATTTTCTCTCCATTTAAAGTCATTTTAAAGTTTTCCAGCAACTTGTTTCAAAATTAGAAACTCAATTTCAGCTACTTCTGCAGGAAATTCAAGTGGGGATGGGTCCTTGTGGGGAGCTCAGATATCCAGCTTATCCAGAAAGCAATGGAACTTGGAGGTTTCCTGGAATAGGAGAATTCCAATGTTATGACAAGGTAATTCTTTGGAACAAAAGGCATTTATCCATTTTTGTTGACCCAGTAAAATGACCCTAAATAGAACCACATCATAATTTGATAAAATGTTTGGTATATTTTTCATTCCTGAACAAGCTTTTATGTGATGCAGTACATGAGAGCTTCCCTGGAAGCATCAGCAGAGGCACTGGGAAAGAGAGATTGGGGAAGAAGTGGACCCCACGATGCCGGCCAGTACAATCAGTTTCCTGAAGACACCGGATTTTTCAAAAGAGATGGAACTTGGAACACTGAGTATGGACAGTTTTTCATGGAATGGTACTCCGGAAAGCTACTCAGACACGGAGATAGAATACTGACAGCTGCGAAAGGAGTATTCCAAGGATCTGGAGCTAAACTATCTGGAAAAATTGCTGGGATTCACTGGCACTATGGATCAAGATCACATGCGGCGGAATTAACTGCTGGCTACTACAACACTAGACATAGAGACGGTTACCTACCAACAGCCAGAATGTTCAGCAAAAATGGGGTTGTATTAAACTTTACCTGCATGGAAATGAAAGACAGAGAACAGCCTGCACATGCAAATTGCTCACCAGAAGGGCTAGTGCGGCAGGTAAAAATGGCAACCAAGAGTGCTGGAATTGACCTCGCAGGAGAGAATGCATTGGAGAGGTATGATACTGGTGCATTTGAACAAATTTTGGCAACAAGTAGATCAGATTCTGGCAATGCCTTAAGTGCATTTACATATCTACGGATGAACAAGAGATTGTTCGAAGGGGACAACTGGAGGAACATGGTTGAATTTGTGAGAGGCATGGCAGAAGGTGGCCGGAACAGAAGTCTGTCAGAATGTGACTCCACTGGGAGCAACCTCTTCGTTCGTTTCATCAAAGAGAAGAATGTCAAGAAAACAAAGGAAACTGTTCTTGTGTAGAGATTTTAGAAATTATTTATGTGCATCTTCATGTACAAACAGAGTATAGCTTTATTACTGTGATATAGGAGGAGAAAAGAGAGTTAAATACAGTGAGAGAGAGAAGTATAATTATATGCAAACACCATTATTGGCATCAGATGCTGATTATGTAAGATGGTTTTAAAAAGTCTTGCATATGTCTCCATACATGAATGGCCAGTTGTTCATTCAACCCAAGTATTATTAATTTAGTTTATGGGGATGTTTGGATGACTCTTTTAAATGGTTGTAAGTCCAGTGTGTTAAATAATAATATGCAGTTAAAGCCCTTTTGCTTCTGCATAAAAACATCCAAGAACTTTGAACATTCTCATCAGTTTCTCTGTTCTTTTCTTATAGCCTCAATATACCTATATTATTGGAAATGGAAGACTCAAACTAAAATGTTCTGATCCACAGAATGTTGGAAACAAAGGAACACATAAACTCAACAATAAAAGTTTATGTGCGAAAAATGGATGCACACATGGCTTTTGGAGTATAAAGCAAGTACAGCTCCTAGGGTTAGCAAATTTCGGCTGTGGTCTGGAGTTGGGTTCGAGTAAGTTGCACTCTCAACCCCTTTTCTGTTTTTCCTTTTTTTTTTTTTTTTTTTTTTTTTACACATACATGAAAATTTAAACCTAAGATTTTCACCTTCTTCAGTTTCTGTTATATCTATTTAAGGACTAAGCTGCCTTACCTAACCGAGATTAGTATGCTACTATTTTTTTGGACCTTTACCCCCATCTACCCCGAAAATAATTATTGTAGCTGTGTATTATGCTTCACCTAGATAGTTCCATTTGGTTTTAACTAGCTAGAAACCTTCTCAACCATCTTGGCTAGAAGCATACTTAACACAGATATCACTGCTCCCTCTGCTCTTCACAACTCTCCATTTATTATTGCCTTGATCTAGGATTTCTGTAGGCTAAGAGAATTTGATTTAGAAAAAAAACCACCATTCGGATCAACATAATTAAAGAAAAATAGACATAATAGGAGCAATTAGGAGCATCTTTACTTTTAGAAATTAACTAAGAGAATCATGTTTATTTTTCTTTGTTTTTTTTTTCTAGTTCTAAAATTGAAATTAGGAGCATCGTTATAGAAAATTCTCAACTTCTCAACCCAATGCTGAATTCCTCCTACAATTCTAGATCAGCTGCTTGAGCCCAGTCTTTTCTGAGTTTTTTAGGTGTCTCTGGCTGGCGTAGTCTATATGGTAAACTCAGGTTCTTGCCACTACATGAAGGTTTTTCTATTTATTAAATTTTTATCAGATATTGGTTATCTTACTGAATTATATATTTGTATTCCTAACATATATGCCTCTTTAGCAAAACCAATAGAACAATATTTCTTCTAAGTCGAGAGGATAATTTTTTCCATGTATATTTTTATATATTTTTTTAGCGGATAATCATTTTTCCAAATGTTTCTTCTTTTTCCCGCTTATCTGGTTACTAGGTTCTACTGTTTTTACCCAAATGAAAATGTAACATAAATTTAAATTATTTGTAATTCTTTTCCAGCACTTTACAATATTAGCTCTCAACCACAGCTGAATCTAAATCAATGCTAACAAGCATGAGCTATAAATCGCGTACCCCAACCACTTAGCCACTAAGTTTGCAGAGACACCACAACAGTATGGGGTAGCCGATTTCTCTTCCGAGATGCTGTAAGATGATTTTAGCTTTTCAGGAAACTAAAGAAAACACTGCATGGAAAATGCAAAGAACAATCTTCATTAGTTAATCATCATGATGGTGACCGAAGCCAGATTGAAAAAGTAACCCTGCCTCATTAATCAGAGAAAATCCATGACCAATACCAACTACATTATATAAATTCATTCAGATCTTTTTTAATAAGAAAAACAGCTTTCATTAATAAAAGAAAGAAGATTACAACACAAGGAACAAGTCCCTTACAAGAAAATCTATGAAGAAACCGTCTAGAGACTAAAGGAACAAGAAACGGCACTCAAAACAGAAGAATCTAAGTTCATTCATAATTTAACGACTATCTCACGATAGAAATCTGTATCTTAGAAGTCAGTCAGCATACAAAAGGTTTTGAAATATCATCTGAACTATACAGGACGGCACATTCCGTCCTCAAGGATAATGTCAGAAGAATGGAAAACACTGCCAAATATGGTGCAATGGAGTGCATTTAATGAAGGCGTCAGACATTGCTTTTCTCAGTTCCAAGCTTTAAGGTTCAAAGTGACTTCCTCACTGCCCACTTGATGCCATCAACCTTGACCCAAGCACCTGAATATGTCACAATCTAAATAAAACTTCCATAGTTCATAGTACATGAATCAAATTTAAATTTGAATTTCAGACAACCATGAATTCATGTCCTAAAGATATTTTCTCCAATAGAGGGAAACCGTGAGAAAATTATATAAGAACAATAAAACATGAGCTTACACGTACACGTACTCCAAAACGAGGGGACATGAACATCTACCATCTAGGTTCAAACACTAATCTAATTAATCACGGTTGTCAAAGAGAAGGTACGGATATATCATCCCCTCAACCATGATTGCGGTAAGGAAATAAACTAAAGAACCAGTTCAAACTGCAAACTGATCTTTATCAGCTTTACGAACATATGGTTCCAATTCACGATCATCATGTAAATCATCAAATTTCACCAATAAGGGAAGAAGATGAAGCATGTCGATGGGTTTACAGCAGGTAACAATCTTGATGAGTAACCTATAGCTGATTTAAATTTGTGTTGCAGCACTGGAATTATACTAAAGTCCTTTAATTTTTTGTAAAGATTATACTGAAGTCCTTTTGTGTTGGCATTCCATCAGCATTGCTACAAACCAAACTGTTGGCATTCTATCTTGACAGGAATATTATAAACATCCTTTATTTTGGGTTTCAGTCATCACAAACGTTTGGTTTGTAAAAAGTGCAAAACAGGCAAAACAAAAACAGAGAACCTATAAACCCATTGGTCAAATAGGTTTTTCGTATCATATACTTTTAACTTCTTTTGTTTTTTTTTCTTTCTTAATTTGGCATTCCATTCTCTCCCTCAATCCAAAATCAATCAAAATTTTAAGGCACCAAATCAGAACACTGAAAAATTCATGACATTTTCCAAGATCAGCTACTAGTAATCATCACTCATTACTTCAAAACTAAGGACATACAAATCAAACCCAACTCAGCATACCCAATTAAAATTGTTAATACCAAAACAACAACAAAAAAGAACTTTTGGGAGTAAGAGAGTAAAAGTACCCCAGTGAATTCAAGCATGAGGTGGTGGTGGTGGATCGGAGTTGGGATTTTGACGGCGAAGATCGTCGATCAAGCTGCCGAGCTCTTTGCGAGCAGATTCTCTTCCGAACATGAACCCGTACCTGCGAAAAAGAAATTGGGCAATGGTTGAACGGATTGCAGGCACTGAAAGAAAGGAATGTGGGGAACCTGATTCCCGAGAATGTGACAGAGTAAGGGAAAAAAGAAAACTGGAAAGTACCAGCCGGAAACCGCAGAGAAGACTGTTGCAGTGACAACTGTCTGAACCAGAGTGAAGGATTTCTCCATTTTCATGAATTGGGGTTTGGGAAACAAAAGACAGAACTAGTGATATTCGCGAGAGTGAGAGAGAGGCATTTGAGCTTTCGGGGTTTTAAAGGGTTTTGACGCAAAAAGCAAAAAAAAGAAAAAAAAGTGGAACTCCTTGAAATTTTTTATGTTTTTTTTTTTGGGGCAGAGTTTTTGATGTTTTTACAAAGACTTGTGAGGTTTTGAGCTTGAGGTTTAAAATTATTTTCACAAAACTTCATCCCCTAATTTTCTACCTAAAGATTGATAATGATAATGTTAAACTAAGGGATTCGATTGCATATAGGGGTGGAATTGGAATCAGTAAATCAGTGAGCTGAACCAAAATGAACCGAAAAAAACCGAAAAATTTGAATTTGGCTTCAACTAGTTTGATAACCAAACCAAGTATATTAACGGTGGCCTATATGTGATATATAAGCCATTTTTATTATGAATTTAAAATTTTAACTTCCTGCCAATGGGCTCTGACCACGGTTGTGGTGGATTCTCCCTCCCCCTCATGGCACCCAAAGTCGAACCCTTCTAAAAGAGCTAAAAGCATTTCTAACAATGTTTGCTAGAAAAGTTGTTAGAAGGGCGTGTCTCCCTCATCTTCATTACGGTCTCAAGCCCCCTCATTTTCCTCAGTCTCATACCCTCCATCCACGTCTCCAACACCATCATCCATTATCTTTTTAGTTGAATCTCTTTGAATTCATAGATGGATTAATGGATGGGAGGGAGTTGAGTTTTATTTTTGGGCTTCTAGTGATGATAAGACAAGCCAAACAAGAAAATGTTGGAAATTTGGAAATTTGGAAATGTTGGATTAGTGGATTGGAGGGAGTTGAGTTTTATTTTTGGGCTTCAACTTTAAATTAGGAAATAGCTGGGAATTTGGTTTATACATGAAATTAAGCTGCTTCTTTTTTTTTTTCCCAAGTACATGTGTTGATGTAACGAGATCATAAGAAAAACATAACATATGTGTTCAACAACATTAAATGAAACAAAGTTTATTGAATTAAAAGGAATTCACTATAACTTGTAGATGGCAACAATGGCATAAACCCATGTTTTTATTAGTAGCTAGCCGACACATCTGAAAGTGATTCAACATCCCAATGCCCAACTGCATCATCTTCCACAAAATCAACCCCTTCAGAATTTTGCTCAGTACTAATGGAAGGTTTTCTTGACATTTGTACAGCCTCTAGCTCCGATGTAACCTCTCTCATTGCAGGACGGTTTCTTCCGTTCAAATTCAAGCATCTCCTTGCAAGGTTAGCAACAACCTGGATTTCTGTTTCAAAGCCCTCCTTCAGAACTCGAGCATCAACAATGTTAAACAGACGATATTCTTGCATCGAGGTAAGGAAATATGCGGCAAGACTTCTGTATTCTTCTTCTTGTGACAATGTTACTGCAGAAATTGGTTTTTGCCCTGTCAAGAGCTCAACAAGGACCACTCCAAAGCTATAGACGTCACTTTTCTCCGTAAATTGGCTTGATTGAAAATACTCTGGATCCAAGTAACCAAATGTTCCATGTACACATGTGGTTAGATGAGTTTGGTCAATGGAAATTGATCTTGAAGTTCCAAAATCAGCAAGTTTTGCTCTGTATTTTTCATCCAAAAGTATGTTGGCAGACTTGATGTCTCTGTGATAAATGGGAAAGGAAGCTGCACTGTGTAAGTACGAAAGAGCACCCGCAATTTCTGTGGCAATTTGCAACCGCATGTCCCATGTGAGTGGGAATTCCTCAATCTGCTCTTGGATATATTGAGAAAGAGTTCCATTCTGAATGAATTCGTAGACCAAAAGTGGAACTTCGGTCTCTAAACAACAACCCATAATTTGAACCACGTTTCTGTGGTTGATTTGTGAAAGAATTACAACCTCATTGATGAATTCCGAGAGCATGCTTTTGTCCACCATTTTGGACTTCTTTACCGCAACAATTCTTCCATCCGCCAACATGCCTTTGTAAACGGTACCTTGACCTCCCTGACCAAGAATTCTATCAATACTAAAATTGTTGGTGGACTTTTCTAATTCTTTTGAATTGAATAACTTGATTTTGTCAGCATTAACTTTGCCTGACGATAATTGTTGCTCTAACAATAAACCACCATTTCGTTTGAAAAACATTTTCTTGCGTCTAATGGTTTTCTTTTTCTTCACGATTTTGTGTACCCACCGTGCACCAATGAGTAGTAACAATAGCCCAACACCGGAGCCAAGACCTGCATCAATAGGTTTCTATATGAGCTTATTATTTGGCTAAATTGGAATTACATCCATTATCATTTCTAAACACGAAAATAATTGAATAATACATATATTATTCTTTTGAGAGATGTAAGAAGATAGGAGTACTATATACCTAAAATAATAGTTTTGATTTCAGAGGCCCGATGACCCGATGTGGTTCTGGAGTGGCATGTTGTGGTAACATTATCGTCACCATAGTCAGAATCAAAAGACAAACATTTATCGCCAGTTATATTTGAGTAGCATCTATAACCCCCAACAAAGTTCTCACATACATCGCCGTTACACCCATTACTGCCTTTGCATTCATCGATATCTGAAATGATGATGACTCGTGAATCGCATGTTCAAATTTCATCCAAAGGTGAAAAGATATATATTATACTAATTAAACTTTCAGGTATTAGAATAAACTCATTTCCAATGTTAGGAAACACTCATTGTATGTTGTACTTATTTTTTTTAACTTTTGATGCGTGACTTTTCATTATTCAACAGATAGATAAACATATTTATACATAACAAAAGAAAATAAATTGCAAAAAGTTTTTTAGGTAGACTTTTAGGAGCTCACAAAAACGAACTAAGGTCATCTCCAGTCATATGGCTAAATGTGGTCTAGGGCTAAAAATTTAGCCCCCCAAAATATTAATTTTTAAAGAATAGTGCAGGGCTAAAATTTTCCATCTCCAGCCATACAATGCTATATTTTAGGGTCCTTCATATTTTATTGTTTTGAGAAAGGGAAGTGGGGAGTGCTTTAATGTTTGGTGGTTGAAAAGCACATGGTGGGGCCCACTATGAATTTGGTCTAGGCCAAAGCTGAGCTACATTTGGCCCGGTTAGAGAGCTAAAGGGCCAAATGTGGCCCTCGAAATTTGGCCAAAATTTTATTTAGCCCATGGCTGGAGATAGATTTTGCATTATTTTAGAGCTATATTTGGGATATAGCCCATGGCTGGAGATGACCTAATCCACTCATCCATGCATTAAAGTAAGCCCCCAAACGAACTAATCCACTCATCTAAACATGCTCCTAACTTTCTAGTAGAACAATTACATAAGAAATCAAGGATTAACATAAAAAACCGAAGAAGAGATTAAATTTGCGTATGATTAAAGCACCTTCAGATAACCAACCCTTTTGCAAGCATTTGGTAAAAAAAAAGTTTCTAGAAAGCTAACAAAAACGAGCAAGTGAGCTTTCTGCAGAAACATTTCCATATATACAAGGCAGTCTCTTAGTTTCTTTCCAAGGGTAAATACCTTTACATTTTTATAGTAGACCACCGAGATTAGAAATCAAGGATCAATCTAAATCCAGAAAGAAGAGATTCAGTTTGCGTACCTTGACAAGGTTGGAGAAGATAAGGATTTCCTTCCATGCCTGGCCGACAGACACAAGTTATCGTGTTCCAATCATCATAGCTGTTGCAAAAGGGTGTTGAGTGGTTACCACTCTGGTCTGTTTTTCCTCTGAATCTTTCACCATAGTCATGTACTTCTAAGATCCAGTCTAGCACCACAGGAACGCTGTCCATATCCTTCACTTCTCGAAAATTCAATAAGCTATCAAACCAATTTGTCTCAACCAAAAATGCATACTTGCAATCGTCCGTTGGATATGATGTTGATGAATTTGATGGTATCTCAATAGTAAAATCTCTGGTGCGTTCATATGTTACAAGAGTATCTTGGCAACAGCCGCCCACACGTTCATAGCAGTTGCGAAAGTCGCCCCCTGTAGTGTTTTGACAAATAGACCGGCAACCAGTGACAGTCCCACGATCTGAGGTCATAGTGGCAGATAGGCCACAACTCACTGCAATGAATATGTTCTCTGTGTGAGAGTAAAGGAAAGGACTGCCCGTCAAATTCTGGGGTTGACGAGTTTCCTTTCCCTCGCAGCTGAAGAATATAGGGTTCTTAACCTGAACCGATTGCCTGCCATCTTTAATAGGAAAAATACTTAGCAGCTCCAGGTTGAGGCTCTTGAGGAAAGGCGCCTGCCTGCTGTAATTAGCTGAGCTTGTAGTGAGGAAAGGCGCCTGCCTGCTGTAATTAGTTGAGGTTGTATAGTTGTTGTGCCTGCAGTCTATTTGAAACCATTCATCTAAGTAACAATCTGTGTGAGGTCCAATCCCGAAAGGGTATGGGATGGCAACATCTCCACAATGCGTTGTGCAATTAGGCTTTGCTATAGGCGCTGATGCTGCACTAGTTGTTGCAGCTCCATGGCAACAACTTAGTATTACTATGCGCCATAACAACAGAATAACGGATATGATATTCATTATTTATCAAACTGATTTGCAGAGTTTGATTTTTGCAGTCCAAATTGATGTATATCAAACATTATATAGCTCCCAAAAAAGGAACATGGATTGACTTAAGTAGGTTACATTTCGTTGATTTGTGCACACATGAATTTGCGTGGAAATTATAGTGTATGTTGTTTATAGCTAGCCATGTTTGACTCATGCTATATAGAGAATTGGTCTACAAAATATAAAATTATTATGAGTAAAGCATCATTTTTCTGTATTAAACATGTTATGTGCTTGTTTAGTCATAATATGGATATGTTGCCTAACTTGGAGGATGAATGGGGACTATCTATAAGAGGTTGATGACTAAAACTTATCCCCTTACAAATGGTCATTGACTATCTACAAAATATAAAATTATAAGTAAATTATTATTTTTTGTATGTAGACTTCACTATATAGCACGAGTCAATGGAGAAAGGACTTGGAAAACTAGGAAACCAAATTGAAATAAAGTTTCACCACTTTCAGGGCCTTATTATACCAAGTCCATTATTTTGCTTCTTCCCTGTTTCTTAAGTTTCCTATCTGATGTCTAGTAGTTAATTAAGTAATATCATTTTTATCACCTTGGGAAAGCCTTTCACACTAAAAACTGTTGAAAAACTTGAATGGCTAGAGCGGATCTGCTCCCCAATCGAGTTCGAATTCCCCTCTGTGTAGTTTATATTATATTAAAGTAGATTATCGCTTGTGTAAAAAAAATATATATATGTTGAACTAGAAATAATAAAATAAAAGCAGAGAAGGTTGAAAGTTTTTTATGATATTCAAAGGAAGACTTATTGAAAAGGACAATACAAGGTGGCTTGATGGTGAAAGGCTGAGTTATGCTATCCACAGCATGATTTTGTAATCGTCGTTCTGTTCATAGTCAAAAGTTCAAATCAGAGCTACAAAAATATCAGCGAAACATTCAAAAATCAAAAGAAAAACAAAGCCAAATGATTGACTAATAGTTAATTAACAATCTATTAGCCAATCGACTTGAAACTAGATTCAAGAAAAGCAATTTCACAATTATCTCTGGTTGGGAAAAAGAATTCAAGGAAATATTGTGACACATTGATAATCATACACCGACTACTTAAGGGTTAACTGCAACCCTAAATGATAATTCTCAAGTCAAGTCTTAAACTCCCCTTCTTTTTATTTTTTGGACAAAATTCTTAATCTTCTCTGAGTAGGATAAAACTAAAATAAAAAATTAAGGTGCGGAGATGGTTCTTGTCACCTTCCTGCAGCTGCTTCAGGAATTAATGCTCATCCTTGATCCATGACTTTCTTAAGTCAATTGCACTCAACTGTACAAATTCTTAAATTTTATCAACTGTTTTTAGAAGAAAAAAATAGAATGGAAAGGAATAATATTATAGAGAGAATTAAAAAAATATTGGGAATATGCAATTAATTTATGAAAGCAGCGAATGAGGAGATAGAGATCTCTTATCAGCATGGCCAGATCAAGCAAGGGAAAATAAAAGAATTGAGAGCTCGCTTGTGTTTGCCCTTTGTTGTGTCAAATAATTGAAATTATTCAAACCAATGAGACAATAAAATAAAATAAAATATCTAAAACCACATGAGGAGATCCATGGTCTTCTTAAACTTCCATCATTGTTTATTCAATTTGCAGTACGCATCAAGAGAGAAAAACATGCTCTCCTTCAGTTTAAGCAAGGCCTTATGGATGAGTCCAATGTTCTTGCAACCTGGGGAGACAAAAGATTGTTGCGAATGGAGACGAATCACATGCAACAACCAAACAGGCAATGTCGTCGCACTAAATCTCTACTTCGACACGATTTTTATAAAAACCGTCGTCTATTATGAAGTAAAGATGACGGTTTTTTTTAAAAAAAATGGTCGTCTGTTATAAAATTGGTCGTCTATTATAGAAGAAAAAATCGTCGTTGTATTTAAAAAGACGACGGTAACAAAAAACCGTCGTGGATAAGTGACTTAAACAACAAAAAAACGGAGGTACTGTTGAATATTTTGTTATAACACAAATAAAAAAGCGTCGTCTTATTAAAAAGGTTTTCTTCAGAGTTAAAATCTGACCAAAAAACAACTACAGTAGGTATGACAAGCGTCGTCTTTTAAAAATCAAATGTCCTTTCTTTGGTAAAGACATGGTTGTTTTGAAAGAACCGTCGTCTATTATATGTAAAGATGATGCTTTTTATACAAACTGTCGTCTATTATTTGTAAAGATGACGCTTTTTATAAAAATCGTCGTCTATTATATGTAAAGATGACGTTTTTTATAAAAACCGTCGTCTATTATATATAATAGATGACGCTTTTTATGAAAACCGTCGTCTATTATATGTAAAGACAACGTTTTTTATATAAAAAAACCGTCGTCTATTATATGTAAAGATGACATTTTTTTTAAAAACCGTCGTCTATTATATATAATAGATGACGCTTTTTATAAAAAAACCGTCGCCTATTATATGTAAAGATGACGATTTTTATAAAAACCGTCGTCTATTATGAAGTAAAGATGACGGTTTTTTTTAAAAAAAATGGTCGTCTGTTATAAAATTGGTCGTCTATTATAGAAGAAAAAATCGTCGTTGTATTTAAAAAGACGACGGTAACAAAAAACCGTCGTGGATAAGTGACTTAAACAACAAAAAAACGGAGGTACTGTTGAATATTTTTTTTTATAACGACGCACACAAATAAAAAAGTGTTGTCTTATTAAAAAGGTTTTCTTCAGAGTTAAAATCTGACCAAAAAACAACTACAATAGGTATGACAAGCGTCGTCTTTTAAAAATCAAGTGTCCTTTTTTTGGTAAAGACATGGTTGTTTTGAAAGAACCGTCATCTATTATATGTAAAGATGGCGCTTTTTTTACAAACCGTCGTCTATTATTTGTAAAGATGACACTTTTTATAAAAACCGTCGTTTTTATGAAAACCGTCGTCTATTATATGTAAAGATGACGCTTTTTATAAAAAAACTGTCGTCTATTATATGTAAAGATCACTTTTTTTGTAAAAACCGTCGTCTGAATTAAGCAAGATGACTTGAAGCTCTAGAGTCAAGAGAAGCAAATTCACTATTATCTCTGGTCGGGAAAACCTTTCACACTTAAATATGCTGAAAAACTTGAATGGCTCATCATCAACAAATCCAATGATTGGCTAATAGTTAATGAAATAATCTTCTGGATTAAGCAATAAGATGACTTGAAGCTAGAGTCAAGAAAAAGCAAATTCACTATTATCTGGTTGGAAAATAATTCAGAATCTTCCACTACAATTTCAAATGGAATTATTGCAATATGCAAGGTATGACTGGTGATAAAGTGAAATAGATGTGAAACAAGTGTCTAGATAAAAGAAAATGAAAGAAGTTGCAGTTGATGCAGATTGTCTCATATTTCCTCCTTCACTGGCATGCTGTAAAATGATCAAAACAAGTTACATAAAACCTAGGAATATAAGAATGAAACTCAAAACACCAAAATTATAGTACAACAATCAAATTAAACAAAGTTTATTCAATTAAAAGGAATTCACCATAACTTGTAGATGGCAACAATGGCCATAAACCCATGTATTTAGTAGCTAGCCGACACTTCTGAAAGTGATTCAACATCCCAATTCCCAACTGAATCATCTTCCCCAAAATCAATCCCGTCAGAATTTTGCTGAGCACTAATCAAAGATTTTCTTGACATTAGTACAGCCTCTAGCTCTGATGTAACCTCTCTCATTGTAGGACGGTCTCTTCCGTTCATATTCAAGCATCTCCTTGCGAGGTTAGCGACTACTTGGATTTCTGTTTCAGAGCCCTCCTCCAGAACTTGAGCATCAACAAGGTTAAACAGACGATCTTCTTGCATTGAGGTAATGAAATATGTGGCAAGGCTTCTGTATTCTTCTTCTTGTGACCCTGTTGCTGCAGAAACTGGTTTTTGCCCCGTCAAGAGCTCAACAAGGACCACTCCAAAGCTATAGACGTCACTTTTCTCCGTAAATTGGCTTGATCGAAAGTATTCTGGGTCCAAGTAACCAAATGTTCCATGTACACGTGTGGTTAGATGAGTTTGGTCAATGGAAATTGATCTTGAAGTTCCAAAATCAGCAATTTTTGCTCTGTATTTTTCATCCAAAAGTATGTTGGCAGACTTGATGTCTCTGTGATATATGGGAAACGAAGCTGCACCGTGTAAGTACGAAAGAGCTCCTGCAACTTCTGTGGCAATTTGCAATCGCTTGTCCCATGTGAATGGGAATTCCTCAATTTGCCCTTGGATATATTGAGAAAGAGTTCCATTCGGTATGAATTCGTAGACCAAAAGTGGAACTTCGGTCTCTAAACAACAGCCCATAATTTGAACTACATTTCGGTGGTTGATTTGTGAAAGAATTACAACCTCATTGATGAATTCCGAGAGCTTGCTTTTGTCCACCATTTTGGACTTCTTTACAGCAACAATTCTTCCATCCACCAACATGCCTTTGTAAACGGTACCTTGACCTCCCTGACCAAGAATTCTATCAATACTAAAATTGTTGGTGGCCTTTTCTAATTCTTTTGAATTGAATAACTTGATTTTGTCAAGATTAACTTCGCCAGACAATAACTGTTGCTCTAACAATAAACCACCATTTCGTTTGAAAAACATTTTCTTGCGTGCAATGGTTTTTCTTTTCTTCACGATTTTGTGTACCCACCATGCACCAATGAGTAGAAACAATAGCCCAACACCGGAGCCAAGACCTGCATCAATAGGTTTCCATATGAGCTTATTATTTGGCTAAATTGGAATTACATCCATTATCATTTCTAAACACGAAAATAATTGAATAAACCCTTGTCGAAGCCGAAAACATTTTGAACAATATTGTAGCAAAACAAAAAAACTTTTGAATAATATTACCATGGTGGAAGATACATATATTATTATTTTGAGAGATGTGTGAGAAGATAGGAGTACTACATACCTAAAATAATAGTTTGAGAGGCCTGCCCCGGTGTGGGTATGAAGTGGCACGTAGTGTTAGTATTATTGGGATGAAGGATCGAAGCAAAATGCGTACATATCCGGGTCCGGCCATTTATATTTGAGTGGCAGCTATAACCCCCAGCAACATTCTCACATACGTCGTCTCCACACTGATTACTGCCTTTGCATTCATCAATATCTGAAATGATGATGACCCGAGATATGCTTCAGTCCAAACTCACACATATAAGAATCGCATATGTTCAAATTTCATCAAAAGGTGAAAAACATAATTAATACTAATTAAAATTTCCTGTACAAGAATAAACTCAATTCCGATAATAGTTATATGTGTTGTACTTATTTTTTTTAATTTTTGATGTTTGACTTTACGTTCTTCAATAGAGGTATAACAGATCAATAATCTAGATAAAATTGATGTGTTTCAGAACAGAAGTTTGAAACTAACAAGTAATTTCACAATTTCGACCAAAGAAAGGTAATTTCACAATTTTGACCAAAAAAAGGTAATTTCACAATTAATGGTTGAACTTGAGAAGATAAGACTTCAAGTAACATTTTCGTCTGTGAAGCCTTGTGTATATATGACCGGCCAAGGCCACCCGATTGGAACATGGACTTGTTCAGTCTTGGCAGAAAGCTGGATACCTGGCTAATAAGAGGGCAGGATTTGTCTAATGACATGTTTTAGATCCTAATGACTTTGGGCAACATCCAAATCATATTCATTAAAGTAATCCCCCAGACGAGCTGATCCGCTCATCCAAACCTGCTCTTACCTTTCTAGTAGAACACTTACATTAGAAATCAAGCATTAACATAAAAAAACCGAAGGGGTATAAAATATAAAAGAATATAGATTAAAAGTTCGTTTGGGAGTGATTCTGGATAAGCCAAAAATCACTTCTATGGAGAATTATTTCTTCAAATAATCACTTTAAGCTGTTTTAAGTGATTTTATGAAAAAGCACATGGAAGGTGCTTCTGCTCAGAATCACTTAAAATCAATTAAAGTGATTATATGGAGAATCACATGGAAGATGGTTCTTCCTAGAAGTGATTCTAGCCTATCTAGAATCACTCCCAAACGAAGTTTGCGCATGATTAAAGCACTTTCGGATAACCAAAATCTCTTTTGAAAACATTTGGTAAACGAAGTTTCTAAGAAGCACTTTAATTTTTGCCAAAATTTTTTATGTGCATCTAACAAAAGCGGTTTCAATAAAAGCTTTCTACGTAATCATTTCAATTCGGCCCTCTCTTTAGTCTCTTTCCAAGAGTAAATACCTTTACTTAGATTAGAAATCAAGGACCAATCTAAATCCAGAAAGAAGAGATTCAGTTTGCGTACCTTGACAAGGTTGGAGAAGATAAGGATTTCCTTCCATGCCCAGCTTACAGCGACAAATCATGCTGGTCCGATTGTACAAAGAAGTCAAGGTCACATTATTTCTTCTGCAAATGGGTGTTGAGTAGTTACCAGTCAGGTCTGGTTTTTCTCTGAATCTTTCACCATAGTCATTTGCGTTTAAGATCCAGTCTAGCACCACAGGAACGTTGTCCATATGCTTCACGTGCCAAAAATTGGGTAGTTCAACCAGAAACCAATCTTTGTCAACCAAAAATGCATACTTGCAATCGCCCATTGGAATTGATGTTGATGAATTTGATTGCATCTCAAAACTAGCAAGGTCATATGTTTGAAGAGCAGCTTCGCAACAGCCAATACCTCCACAAAAGCCATAGCTGCCGTCTTTAATGCTTTGACAAAACGACCCGCATCCAATGACACGGTCATGATCTGAGATCATACGGGCAAAGAGGTCACAATCCACTGCAACTAATGCGTTGGCTGTCCGAGAGTAAATGAAAGGACTGCCCGTCAAATTCTGGGCTTGGCGAGTTTCCTTTCCCTCACAGCTGAACAAAGTAATAGGGTTCTTAACCCGAACCAATTGCCTGCCATCTTTAACCGGAAAAATACTTAGCAGCTCCAGGTTGACGCTCTTGAGGAAAGGCACTTGCCTGCTGTAATTAGCTGAGGTTGTAGAGTTGTTGTGCCTGCAGTCTATTTGAAACCATTCATCTAAGTAACAATCCTTGTTAGGTCCAATCCCGAAAGGGTATGGGATGGCAACATCTCCACAATGCGCTGTGCAATTAGGCTTTGCTATAAGCGCTGATGCTGCACTGGTTGTTGCAGCTCCATAGCAGCAACTTATCACCATGCGCCATAGCAACAGAATAATGGATATGATATTCATTATTATTTATCAAACTGATTTGCAGAGTTTGATTTTTGCAGTCCAAAAAAGGAACATGGATTGACTTAAGTAGGTTACATATTTCGTTGATTTGTGCACATGAATTTGTGTGGAAATTATTGTGTACATTATTCCTAGCTACACGTGGGTAGACTTCTAGTCAATCTTCACACACAAAAAGACAAAAAAGAAACTTCTAGTCAATAATGTCAATTTTTATAAAAACTTTCAATTATAACTAAAAACCCACTTGAATAGACTTCAATGCCCTCAAAACTAATACTCATATAAACCTAAAAAGAAAAGCTATTAGATTAAAATTTGAATCTTTTGTAGGCGCGTCTACAGCACTAGTCCAACTCCTTGTGAGTGTTGCTCTTCCTGCGTTTATGGGGTGGGTCTGCAGCATAGTTCTTTTTTCCTTTCTTTTTTTGGCTAGAATCCATCATGCTTCTTTAATGTTCTTGCACATGGTGGACGAATATAATGATATATCTTCTTTGAAAAAAAACATAAAAAAACATCTAGAGCATCTTTTCATGTTTTGAGAAACTTTGCATGACAAAGATGAACTTAAGGATTCAACAACGCAAATCTGAATTCATAATACAGTATGAATGACACCTTGATAAAGCACCGCACGAACCTCCTTTAGTTTGGCTAACCATCATCTACTAGAGTGAAACGATGGGAAAGCAATTATGTATGTATTTTTTAAGGCATTTAAGTCTATTCAAGTGGATTTTTAACTATACCGGAAAGATTTTATAAAAATTGACATTTATGAAAGTACAGGAAATTTTGGCTATTTTTGATTAAAAAAAAAACTCTTCCTCCTCCTTTTAGAAAACAAAATATATGTTGGCTAGAGCGGATCTCCTCCCCAACCAAATTCGAATCCCCCTCCTTGTAGTTTAGATTATATTAAAGTAGATTATCACTTGTGTAAAAACAAAAAACAAAATATATGTTGGACTAGAAATAATAAAAGAAAAGCAGAAGTTTTTTATGATATTCAAGGAAGACTTGACTAAAAAGGACAATACAAGGTGGCTTGATGGTGAAAGGCTGAGTTAGGGTATCCACAGCATGATTTTGTAATCGTCGTACCCAAAAGTTATAATCAGATAGCTACAAAAAAGATCAGCGAAACATTCAAAAGAAAAACAAATCATCAGCGTAACTTAAAAAGTAAGTTACGTGAGGTCATCCCCATTAGTCTATGGAGAAAATGTGGCTTACGTGACCTCAGGCTGTTCTTCTTTGTCTGTACATCCATTTTTTTTCTATGTTTATTTTCTTCTCTTTTTGGTTTTATTTTTTCTTGAAGGTGGGTATCTCTGACTTTAGTTTTGCGAATTTCGTATTTAATTTCATGCTGGAAATTGATTGGGTTGTTTGGTTATTTTTTATTTTTAAAAAAAACTCTTCCTCTTCTTTTTAGAAAACAAAATTTGAGTTTCAAACCAAACTGAAATAATTAAGTTCAGCACTTTCAGGTCCTTATTACCCCAAGTCCATTATTTTACTTCTTCCTTCTTTATTAAGTCTCCTATCTGATGTCTAGTAGGAAGCTTCAAATTTTTATTTGCAAAGCAAATGATCATTCTCAAGTCCTAACCTTCTCAATGTAGGATAAAACTAAAAAAAATAAAAATAAATTACGGAAGTTGCAGAGGTACTTCCTGCAGCTTTTACAAGTCAAGTCCACTCAAAAGTACAAATTATTAAAGTCTATCAACTTTTTTTAGAAGAAAAAAACAGAGCAAGAACTTTAAAATGAAATATAATTTTTATCATTTGGTTATATTATCATTTTTATCTCCTTGGGAAAACATATCATTTCTATCACCTTGGGAAAACCTTTCACACTTAAAAATGTTGAGAAAGTTTAATGGCTCCTCATCAACAAAGCCAGTGATTGGCTAATAGTTAATGAAATAATCTTCTGGATTAAGCTAGAGTCAAGAAAAAGCAAATTCACTATTATCTGGTTGGAAAATAATTCAGAATCTTCCACTACAATTTCAAATGGGATTATTGCAAATTCATTATTATCTATTGAAATAGATGAAGTCAAGATACTTGATAAAGTTATTAGTGCATATAATGATGTGAAACAAGTGTCTAGATAAAAGAAAATGAAAGAAGCTGCGGTTGATGCAGACTGTGCTTGTCTCAGATTTGGTAAAGTTTCACTACCCATATCTCCTCCTTCACTGGCATGCTGTAAAAAGATCAAAACAAGGTACATAAAACCCAGGAACATAAGACTGAAACTCAAAACACCAAAATTATAGTGACTGAAACTCACTATTATCTGGTTGTAACGTACATTACGATCTTTTTCGCCACACACTTGCTGCAATTGTTTTGAGGTTGATGGTGGTTGTGGGTGGCGGATCCACGTTGGGACAACAGGGGTCGGACGACCCCTTGGAAGGTTGGAAAAATGGCCTGGGACTCCATTGAAGCCCCCTTGGACAGCTGCTGGAAGCCCCCTTGGATGCACGCCATCTGCTCGATGAAAGTCCCAGGAGAAGAGGCAAAAGGGCTGCGCAGCTGCACCTAATTTTTTTTTAAAACTGCCTTGCCAAACGACGTCGTTTGGCAAAGGCTCAGTCAAATTTTTTTTAAATGACCTGGCCTCAAAACGACGTCGTTTTGAGCCAGTTAAAAAAAACCTCCTCCAACAACCTCCATCATCAACTCTTCGTTGGGCCACCAATCACCGCCGTTCGCCGCCGTCCTTCTCCCTCCTCCATTGTTTTCAACTACAAGTAAGCTTAGCTATGAAATTTATGGAAAATGTTTAATATATATTGTTGTTGTTGTTGATATTGAAATTTATTGTTGTTGTTGATATGAAATTTATGGAAAATGTTTAATTTATTGCTATATGATTATTGAATTTATGCTTTATTGAGTTAATGCTTGAAATTTATGGATATGAATAATATTGATATTTTTTGTATGTAATGAAATTTATGGATATGATATGAATCATAGTGATAATCATATTAATGTAGATTGATTGAGTTTATGCTTGATTGAAAATGTGAATTGATTGAGTATATTGAATATTAATTGATATTTGATATGATAATTTAGTATATTCAATATTGATTGATATGGGTTTATGGAGTATATTGAATTTTGAGAGTGGGTTATTGACATTTTCATATTCATATGATAATTTGGGTAAAAATTAATGATTGATTGAATTAATTGATTTGTAGATTTATGGAACGATTCTTTAAAAGAAAATTATCTACGGATAGTCCTTCTCCGTCTAATCCGGGTAGTTCAAATGCAAGACCAATTGAAGTAGATGAGATCTTAGCTAATCTTCAGGCAGACCCTGGACTAAGAACTCGAATGGTGGATTATAGTCCTAATATTCGAGATGAGATTCGAAGAGCATATCTACAAAAGGGACCTTGTCAACCTAGAAGTTATAAATTCCCACAAACTAATCAATCAGGAATTAATAGACGCTTCATTGCTAATTGGTTTGATGATCATGATTGGTTGGAATATAGTATTGCTAAAGATGCTGCATTTTGTCTTCATTGTTATCTCTTCAAATCAAATTTTGATCAAGTGGGTGGTGATGCATTCACTGGGGTAGGCTTCAATAATTGGAAGAAGGCGAAAGAAAGATTTAATCTTCATGTTGGACCGGTTGGTAGTGTTCACAACCAAGCTAGAGAAGTTGCTTACAATTTGATGCATCAAACTACACACATTGAAACAATTGTCATCAAGCAAACAAGCCAAGCTCGCACGGCTTATCGCACTTGCTTGAATGCATCACTTAAGTGCACTAGGTATTTGTTGCGACAAGGTCTTTCTTTTCGTGGTCATGATGAAAGTGCACAATCAAGTAATAGAGGGAATTATTTAGAGCTCTTGCAATTTCTTGCGGATCATGATGAAAAAGTTAAGGCCGTTGTGTTGGAAAATGCTCCAGGAAATTTGAAGTTAATAGCTCCTTCAATTCAAAAAGATCTTGTCAATTCTTGTGCTAAAGAAACCATTGGTCTTATCTTGAGTGATGTAAAAGATAGATATTTTTCCATAATGGTGGATGAAGCACGTGATGTTTCAATAAAGGAGCAAATGGCGATGGTGCTTCGTTATGTGAATGACAAAGGACAAATAATTGAAAGGTTTGTGGGGGTTCAACATGTGACCGATACTACTTCAAGTGCACTAAAGGAAGCCATTGATGAATTCTTTTCTTCCGCGAATTTGAGCTTTTCCAAGCTATGAGGACAAGGTTATGATGGAGCTAGTAATATGAGAGGTGAGTTCAATGGCCTTAAGACAAAGATTTTGAGAGAACAACCTTGTGCATTTTATGTTCATTGTTTTGCTCATCAACTTCAACTAGCTCTTGTTGCGGTAGCAAAGAAAAACATTGATGTCAACTCTTTTTTCACAACGGCTAATAGTTTGGTCAATGTTGTTGGAGCATCTTGTAAGCGTCGGGATGCACTTAGAGCACAATACCAAGAAGAGCTTGTGAGAGCTTTTGAAGAAGATTGTCTTATAATGGGGCGGGGCTTAAATCAAGAAACTACTCTCAAACGTGCCGGCGATACACGATGGAACTCACATTATGGTACGTTGATTAGTATAATTTCTATGTTCCCATCTGTGGTGAATGTGCTTCAAATGATTGTTGATGATAATCCTAATGATAGTTCGGGTGAAGCCTATAAGTTATGGAGAGAAATACAATCTTTTGAGTTTGTGTTTCACTTATTTTTAATGAAAGCTATATTGGGAATAACAAACACTTTGTCTCTAGCATTGCAAAAGAAAGATCAAGACATTGTGAGTGCAATGAGTTTAGTGACAACATGCAAGGAATATGCGTTCGAGTATTGATTTTTCTCAATTGGAAGGGATTAGTAGTCTTGCGGAAAAAATGGTGGAGAAAGGAATGCATGAAATATTTCCTTATGTGTATTTGCTTCTTACATTGACTTTGGTTTTACCGGTTGCAACTGCTTCAGTGGAGAGGGCATTTTCCGCCATGAATATTATTAAAAATCCACTTCGCAACAGAATGGGAGATCAATGGTTGAATGATAGCTTGATTGTTTATATTGAGAGAGATGTTTTTGCTTGTATTGATAACGAAACTATAATGCAACGTTTTCAGAATATGAAAACTCGTCGTGGACAATTGTAACTTGTATTATTGGTTTTGTTATGAATTATGAATGGAAGTACTATCTTTTTATCTTTTTAGCATTATTTTCTTTATAGAAAAATTTCAGAACTTTTACACTAAGCCCCCTTGGCCACATAATCCTGGATCCGCCACTGGTGGTGGTGGTGGATCGGAGTTGGGATTTTGACGGCGAAGACCGTGGATCATGCTGCCCAGCTCTTTGCGAGCAGATTCTCTCCCGAACATGAACCCGTACCTGCAAAAAAGAAATTGGGCAATGGTTGAACGGATTGCAGGTATTGAAAGACAGGAATGTGGGGAACCTGATTCCCGAGAATGTGACACAGAGTAAGGGAAAAAAGAAAACTGGAAAGTACCAGCCGGAAACCGCAGAGAAGACTGTTGCAGTGACAACTGTCTGAACCAGAGTGAAGGATTTCTCCATTTTCATGAATTGGGGTTTGGGAAACAAAAGACAGAACTAGTGATATTCGCGAGAGTGAGAGAGAGGCATTTGAGTTTTTGGGGTTTTAAAGGGTTTTGACCAAAAGGCAAAAATAAAAGGCTTTTTTATCACAAATGGTCCTTTAGGTTTGCAAAATTATGACATTTCATTCCTAATATTTTTTTGTGACATCAATGGTCCCTAACGTTACCCTTCACACATCAAAATGGTCCTTGCCATTAACTTCCATCAAATTTTCTGTTAAATAGCTGATGTGGCACGTATGTAGAACTCACACAACCAATAATATACATCCATGTGGCTTTAAATAAAATATATTATATTTTAAATATTTTAAAACTTAAAATTCAAAAAAAAAAATGTACCATCTGCGTTCTATATGACCTAGAGGGCCAAATGATTATTTTTTTTATATACTTTCATAAATAAAGTTTCATGTTGTGTAGTCTTGGTGGTTCTATATGACCTCTCTTTGGTCTTTATTAATGAAAGTTCATCTTTATCAAAAAAAAAATAAAAATCATAGCACAGTGTTCCTTTTCTCCCAAGTGGGACTAGAATTCAAACCAAGAAATAAAGCATCCTAACGCAAGGAAATTTCCTACTGACGAACTTTTTCTAGTTATTCCACCGTCCACTATTTATTAGTATTATATAAAGAGAAAGGTAAGAAAGACTAGTTTTAGATCAAAATAAAACAAGGAAGTCTCAATGATGATAAGCATATATGCACCCAGTAGCTTCTACTAATGAAACGTTTTTCAACAACAATATCTTTAAAATATTATATATCCCTGCTAACAATTCTGCCATTCTATAGTTATTTGAATATTCTCCAGTTTTAACAAAAGTAATAAAATATTATTTTATGAAATAATAAATAAATAAGAAAAATCATTCCTAAAGAATTGGTTTCTTTGTCTGTTCCACAGCAAAGGATGTGTGTAGGCTTGTGCCCACAGCAAAGCAACATAGATAATGCAAATAGAGACAAAAAAAAATAGTAATAAGTTGTTCACTTCTCAAGTCTGTTCATCTCCTCCCAAAGCAAACCAATTTGAGAATCAAATTTAATACGGTGTGATTTTTTATGGGGTTTGATATTTATATCACCCACTAAAAAATCTCACAGAATATATCATTTAATGAAATACCTCAAAATCGATAAGTTTTTAAATACCACCGTACTTTTTCTAATCTTTTGAAAATTGAAAGTCCTAATTGAATACCACCAGACTTGCACTGATGATTTTAAAATCCTAATTGAATACCATCATTTTTTTATTATTATTTATAAATCATAATTAAATACCACTAGACTTTTAAGCTTCAAAAAAATCTATTAAAATCCTAATTCAATACACCCCCCTAAAATCATGTGATTACAATCTATTAAAATCTTAATTGAATACACCCCCCTTAACTCCTCTCAATGTATGGGAAATCTTGGACTTTGTGGACCACCGGTGATACAGAAATGCCCTGGAGATGAAACAACTCAGGATCCTGGAATCACCAGTGGCAAAAAAAGTGATTGTAATACCGAAGGAGACAATGATGGCCTCATAAACTTGGGATTTTATGCAAGTATAGTGCTGGGTTTCCTCAAAGGATTTTGGGGTGTCTGCGGGACTTTACTGCTTAAGAGTTCATGGAGATATGCCTACTTCCAAGTCCTGAATGATACAAAAGACTGGATTTATGTTACAACAGCACTGCACAAGGCAAAAATGCAGAGGAGACTTCAAAGATAAATGGTAAGAGCTACGTATTGCTCTGTTTCTTTTCCTTCAAATTTATAATGTATCTACTATATGCGCAGCTTATCTTGCTTAAGAATGTTGCACAATAAAATGTACCTCCTTTGCACTTGCATAACAGTTTGAAAATTTTGTCTTTTGACTCTCCTGTCCAGCTACGATCTTAGAAGCTGCCGGCTTTCGGGGTAAGAGCATCCACAATGGAAGGTGTATTTTCGGGGGTGTAAAGCCACTTTTACATCCCCTTTACACCTCCGGGGGTGTAAATACATTTTTTGCTCCAATGAGAAATGATGTAAATCTAAATATGTATAATTGATTGTTTGTCTTAATTCGTTTTTATGTTAAATTTGTATTTTGTGTTTACTTTATAAATTTTTTTTTTTTTTTTGTATTAGGTTAATTTTTTATTTTTCAAACAAATAGACCTAAAAATATTTACATTCGGAGAAGATATGATTTCGTCTAAAAAGAATCGGGGGGAACATGACAACCAAAAAATTGCCCCGCATGTGAATTTTTTTCCAGCAATTACTGTAGCCGCATGTCCCACCTTTTTATGCTGACTTTTCTCCAGAAAAAAAAAAAATTTGTGGATGCTCTGGGAAGCTTTCTCCAGAACTTCAAGGACTAATGTGGGAGGTTTTTTGTTGTCTTTGATTTTTTTTCTTTTCTTTCAACAAGTACGACGCTTGTTTGTGGTAATAATTTATGTGCACTGGATGCCATTTTCCTTGTATTGTTCTCAAAATATCATTTTTCATATCCCCATAATATTTCATGCAACTCCCCTGATGAGAAGCTATAGCTATAGTCATTGTTTTTCAAAATTTCTCCGGAAAAATTGTTGTCTAATGAAAACTCTGAAATCTGAAAATTTAGCCATCAATCTCAAGAACTTTGGCTAATTTTGTTCGGTGGGAATTCGGATAGAAGAATTAATAACAGGAAAGAAAATTGAAGTATAATATTAATATTAATGCTGCACTGATGAAACCATGAAAGCAATTTTGAAATCAAAGTGTTATTACTTTGTTGAGGGAGGTTCCATGAACTTTTGGGTAATCAATGTAATTAAATTTGACTCCACAAAAATGATTCCCTGAAGAAAAGGGAAAGAAAGAGGAGAAGAAATAAAAAAACATGTAATTTTCACATGAATGCTACCACAGTGCGCAGCTACGTCTTCAAACTAATAAAAATAAAAAAGGTAAAAAGGCTCAGTATGGATTACAGCAATTCCGCAGATCAGTCTACTGTCTTCCCCTATTTCACTGCCTTCTTCCATTCTAGAATATTACAAGACGAAAGAAAAGATTACCTTGAATTCGTTTATATCAAGTGAAAAAAATATGACATTGACCATAAATGTGCTAACTAAGCAAGTGAAAATACTCTCAAGAATGTGGCTCAAATGATGCTTGGGGATCCAGTAATAAGAGCCATAAGTGGGCTAAGCCAGCTAACTTGGGTGGAACTATGGATGCTTCTGTACATGACATGTCATACAAAAGTTGCCACTCAATATGTTGCTGGTGTAGCATGTCTCAGAATTATGAGGGTCAGTTTTGGGAGTATAAAAAGCATATTACCCCTCCACTCACCAACGTTGATACATGAGTGCGGTCACCCGTTGGTCCTTCTCTAGCAAGCCCTGAATTGCTCATCCAATAGCACATTGGAGGATTTGAAATCTCGATATATCACCTGTCCATGTAACGCAAGAAAACAAGGTTCAACAAACATATAATCAAGAATCTGTCTTCCAAACAAAAAATGATCATGTGAGGTCAGCAAGTGTATCATATCCATATGCATATAATTTCTGTGATATTTGGATATCAGAAGTAAAATAAGGATATGAGGATATTAGTTTTTTCAAGCACAAAAGTAGAGCTGAAACCCCAGCACTAAAGCGAATTTATTGTTTCTCCTGAAATGACTCAAATGTAGAAGCAAAGGTTCTTTGCTTTAATCTAACAGAAATGGTCTTTGCTCTGTAATCTAATTTTGATAGCCGTCAGACAAAAAATCTTCATCTGTACCTAACTTATGGCAGTTACATTACATGAGTAGAACATACCCTTGAAGTTCCAAAAACAGAGATTACAGTTTGAAAGTAGGAAACAAGAAAAAGATATATAACATAACATAAAATATCAGCAGTCCCAGTTCAAATCCTCA